ACCACTGAGAATTACTTATTTTTTCCCGGATAGTCCCTACGTGAGGTATACAAGTTAAGAAACTTCTGTTTGTTTGTTTCTTGTTTACCTGTCTTTTGTTACAGGGGTCTCAGCTAAGAACTCAAAAGGGTAGAGGGGAAATTATTTTTCCTCCCCTACAGACACAGCCTCACATAACTTTAATACTGCAATGTTCTCTTCTTGTAAACTAAATCCAGTGAAGACTGAAAATACCCTTAGACCTGTATATTACGTATTAAAGTGTTATTCCTGCCCTGTACTTACCAAAAGCTCAGTCAGAGAGGGACAATATGTCCTCGAATACACGTCAGTAAGTGGTCCCAAACAATCCTTGTCTGAAATGCAAATCAAGAGCCAAATTCTGACTACATAACACACATCAATTACTTCAAACAGCCTATACATTGAAGGAAGTCTTCCTCCACTATTAGTATATCCCCAGGTTGTCTTCACAGTCTGGTTGAAAGATATAAAGTAGACAGAATGGGAAATTCCTAGAGATAACAGTGCCCACTGTCCATAATAGGTTTCTGGTCTGATGTTAAACAATAGCAGTAGAGTATAATGAGTCATAATTTCAGTTCTTTTCTAAAATGTTAACTCGGTTGCAACTTTACTTCCCTAATTGGAATCTGGTATTTTCTAGGCCACTGGCTTTCAGCTGAGGGTTTACATTACTTATCTCTGAAGTCTTATTAATATATAAACGTGTAGGACCTGCTCCAGAGTTACTGAATCTCTCTGCTTGATATTGTTGATATATTGTTGATATATTCTTATATGATTGGGATATTCACGGCATGTTATGTCTCAGGATTATTATACGTTAAGTATCAAGATTTTTTTTCTCTGTAAAGCTTATGTTCATTCACTTTTATAAATTAGATGCAATATTTACTATCTTCTTTGAAAATATGGTTGATTGGCATGTCTATAGCCATTTTATCTAAAATTTATTTTGGAATGGCTTTGTTATTTCTTGTTATTCTTGTTCCAAAATTCCTTGTTAGTGGCATTATTCTTGTTATAAATTCTCATCAGATCTTTTGCTTTTGAAAATTATAAGTAATAAGTTCATCACAGCCATTTAAAATCTTTTGTCATTCATACATAGTTATTTTATTTCACTCTGATGCTGCCCTGAAAGCATTTGCAGTCAGCTACATGTCAGAGTGTTTCATCTTCGACAAGGAAGGTCTGCAGAGCGTCACAGGAAAAAGACAACCGTGCCAGGTACTTGGGGTGTGGGCCCCTGACAGCATGGCTTATACAACTTTGACCATTCTACTGAGTCAGAATTTCCAGAATTCTGATCAAGAAGCACATGGGTTCATTAGACTCTGTTAGGGAAATAAAACAATCCTGCCATAAAAAAAAATACCCTTCCATATCAATAGAAGAAAGAGAGAAAATACATTTTATTGAGTAAGAATTAACAGATTTACAGGTATACAAGATAGCACAAAAGTGATGACAAAATGAGGACAAAATTTCTCTCCTTTTATACAGCAAAGCTTAAGAAAGAACATCAATTTCTCTTTTCCCCTTGAGAAGAAAGGGGCTGCATCTCATGACAGTCTCCTGTATGTCTCATGAGAGCCTCTGAGCAAATTCTAATTTAAATCCTTAAATGGAAAGGAAACATTTGCAAATATCTTATTGTCTAATAATATGCTCATTTTTTAAAAACTATCTTTGAACTCATGTAAACATAACTTCCTTTTTTCAACTCTGTGCTTTGGAGCCCCTACTTTAGGTCTCTTTGAAATATCCTATGATTCTACTCACATTACAACAGAAAAATAAAGGTGACATTTTCCACCCTCTCTCTAGTCCCACTTGTACACTTTGTTTTCAGTGGTGGGATGGATTTAAAGGTTCAGACTCAACTTCCGGCTAGCTGGACCAACTCAGTTGAAAATAAGCTCTGTTTCTATATAGTATATAATCCTAATTATGCTGGTTTGAAAGCTCTGGAAGTGCTAACAAGTTAATTTCCAACATATAAAAAGTGGAAAAAAGCAGGATGCAAAGTAGTGTGTAGAATGTGACATTTTAGCAACTGGAAAGGAAAAAGAAAATGGATGTTCATATTTACATCTATTCACATAAAGAAAATCAGGGAGAATACACAGGAAACTAGGAACACAAACTCAGGAGGTAATGCTGAGAACTGGCAGTAAGGGAGGTAGTGCTGAAATCGGAGAGATGAGGGAGGAGAGGGTGCAGGAAACTCTCCACTGTACACCCATTTTAGTTACTATGTGACTGTGTCACCTTATGCAAGATGAAAACAACAACAGTCTCACCAGGCTTACATGAAGGTGTCCTAGGGCTGGGGTCCTTACTGCAGGCTCTAGGAGAGAATTAGCTTTCAAACTCATTCAGATTGTTGGCAGGATTCAGTTTCATGCAGTTGTAGGACTGGGGTCTCCTTTCCTTGAAGGCTGTCAGCCAGCAGTCCTCAGTTTCTAGTGAATGTCCACATTCCATGGCTGGTGGCCTCCTTCATCTTCAAAGTCAGCAATGACCTGTTGAGTTTCTCTTGAACTTCAAACCTGTAAGTATATGCTTTAATGTACAATAGAGTAGTGGTACCCTTGAATTAAAAAAAAAAAACTTTCACGCGTTTTCTTTGAGCCAGTCACAGTTCTTGACATGGAGGATGCAGCACTGACCAAAAGAGAGGAGGGCCCTGCCTTCTTGGATTTATTGAGCAACTGTGATGTCCCTGGAACTGTGCTTGAGACATTGTTTACCTCATTATTTAATCAATATCATTAATGTCATTTTTAATAATCTCCTACTTTTTAAAAATTGAGTTATAATAACCTCTACTTTTAAAAAGAGAAAGAGTAAAAATATGTTGGGAGTCTGAGGGACAGTGCAAGGGTAGAGGAGAGAAACAGGAGGAGGCTCTTGCTGGACACACTGAGAACCAGGGGCCAGACTTTAAGAAAAGGACAGGACAGAGAGAATGAAGCACTTAGACTGAGAGCTGCCCCAGAGGCTCTTGCCCTCCTATCCCCTACTGTTCACCTTGTTTTTGTCATTCTAATCTTAAATCCAACGCTTTTACGATAAAAGTCCAAAAAAATTTAGACGAGTTGTAAATGGCTTGCTAAGTGGCAGCACCAAGGTAATAGTCAAAAATAACCCAAAGGCTGACCATTGCTCGGTTTTGCCGCAGAGCATTCGCAGTTGCAGATATGGGGCTTGGACAGAGGCAAAGCCACGACGAGCCTGAGATACTCCCACATTTGAGAAAAAACCAAAGTGCCTGTCTACCATAGCAGGAATCGAACCAGAGACCTTAACACTATAAAAACAATACCCTAACCAGCTGAGCAACTTGCCATAACCAAGGACGAAATTTTTTTCTTTTGGAAATAAAAACTGTATCAAAACATTATTACCTCAAGTCTTCTCCAGAATGATGCAAGAAATTCTCTAATTCTTCCTATTGTCCCTTCCCTTAATACGGCCGCCTTATCTCATTGAGTTTTCTTTAAGAGCTCTCAATCCTGACTCTGATACATTATTTATACTTTAAATAAAAAAAACACTTTCAGTGGTGGTGATCTTGGGAGTATCCGTTATTAGATATAAGGCCACAGTTCCTACATACGATGTGGTCAATTTATATGAAGAAGGGAAAAAAACGGAAAAAGCATCCTCTAAGTGGCCCGTACGGGGATCGAACCCGCGACCTTGGCGTTATTAGCACCACGCTCTAACCAACTGAGCTAACCGGCCATCCCGTAAGAAAGCACTTTTACTAATACTTTTTAAAGTCATATCGAATTGAAGTTGGCAGCTATTTTCTTTGCAAAAGGTTAGAGAGAGATTCTTTTTTCTGTCAAAAAAGGAAAAGAGAAATCCCAGCTGCCAGGATAGATAAACCGTGCTTCTCCCCGAGAAACCTCAATCTTTGTCAAACCGACCGACGAAGACTCACGTGAAAGTCCGGACCAACTACTCCTAGAAGGCCCCGGGCAAACGCGAAACTGCTACAAGCCTGAGATGGCGGCAGGCCGATCACGGAACTGACCACCCAGCGCCCGCAGTGCAGGGCCCGGAGGACTCGGCTTCTGCACGCAGAGTGCGGATTCCCCGCTCCTGGAGATCATTTCGGTCAGGTCTCTTGTTCCCAGAGACTTCTAGCTGCTTGACTTCAGGGTGGTTCCGAGGTCACCTTTACGCTAAATCCGTAGCTGCGCGCCCGGAGCGGAAAAAGACTTGGACCTGACGCTGCAGTGCTGGTTATAGGACACTTGGTGGCGCCCGAGTGCGATGCTGCGGTCAGCCGGGGGCAAAAAGACCTCGAGAGCCTCTAACCCCTCCCCCTCCCCCAAGAACCAAGACATCGCGGCTCTCCCCTCCGAAATCTATGAAAAGGGAAGTCGAAACCGGAAGAATCAGGAGTCAGGGCCGTGATCCGGACCAGGGAGAAACACCAGAATCTGAGAGGAGCAGGGGAACTGAAGTCAAGGTCGGGCAACTCCAAGGAAAGAGTCGGGAAACCTTTGCCCTTTTGAGCCTGGCCTGATCCACCTGCAAGAGGGTGTCAACTCTGGCAAGGACCAGTAGAGCAGCAATTCTTTTCCCTGCTGGACCCTATAACCCTCCTTTTTTTTTTTTTCCTCTCTACTTTTCTATTCTTTGTTGCATCTGAAGTTAATTGGCTCGTTTTATAGATATATATTCTATCGAGTAAGATTTGAAAGTTTTCTGTGAAAAGAGCTATTTCTTTTAATGAGACAAGTTAACTATACATTTACTTATTTTACATTATCCAGCTTATAAACTTTGTTTTTAATTGTTTAAAAAGCTGTACGATCATATTTCTTACCTTTAGTACATTTCTTTAACTTTGTATAAGCATTCACCATATGAACTAGTAGTTGTCCTCATTTTCTTTGTCCTCCAGTAAAAATTTGGGGGAAGATGGATGGAAAAACCAATTTTTTACATTCTTATTTATTTATTTGTTTGTTTTTTTACTACAGTACTTGATCTCTTCAGTCTTTTCTCCTCCTTCTGTGATTTATTGCAGCTCTTCCAGATTTCCTAACCCTGCGAGATCTCTCTCGATTAACAGCCAGGATGTCAGCTGTTTGGGTGGC